AATTGCTGCCGCCGGACCGCCGTCGTTTTGTTGCTGCGGGTGGCCATGCTGGAGGTCCTGCTGCTGCTGCTGCTGCGGCACCTGACCTGCTGCTGCTGCTGCTGCTGTTCCTGCTGCTGCCTGTTGTTGTTGTTGCTGCTGCTGCTGCCTGTTTTGGGCGTCCCCACCACCGGCGGCCGAGCTTGGGGGACTGCCGTCCGCCGGATTGCCTTGACTGGCCGCCGCGACGCCCGCGGCGCCGTTCGCCCTCGCCGGTTGCCCATCATTGCCGTCCATCCCGAAATCGATCAAATCCTAGGCGGTACCCCGTGTTTGCTGCTCCTCAAAGCTGCTATATCTGCTACTCCTCTCCTTCTCTCAAACGCACTTGCTTGTCTCTCGCCCAGCGAGAGCACAAAAACTTTCTGACACCGAGGCTGTCTCTATTTTTCTTCGATCCCCGCTTTTCCGAATTCCAATACGCCTCCACAAACCACAGATTCACATACGTACTGAATCTTCACGGTCTTGAGCACGCGAAAATTTCCAAGAACCTTGCGTTCAATACGACGGAGCCCCTTTGCCGGCGGCGGCAGACAGATGGTTGAGCCGACTCGAACACAAAACATACATAAATTCCGAGCTTCCGCCTCCTCCACCTTAACCCAACAAGGAAGGCCACTACACTACTCTACTATTTTGAACTTGCTTCCGACTTCAAAGACCAAGACCTGAGACCAGTCCGCAAACACCCTAATAACTTTATAAATAACTGGCGGGGGCTCGTTGATGGGTTTTGTTTTTCGTCGGGGGGGTTGTTGGCGGGAAATAAAGTACATTTCACAGTACGGATTTAAGATTTAAGAGAGAAATACTCCTTTAGTATACTATGATCTTACCTCCCATTAATATAATGTGTGGGTTTTTGATCAACCATTTTGGAGCCGCCAAACAAACACAGATCGGTGTACATTTATTTCCATTATATTACTGCGGACATATCTGAAGTCCGGGGCCACACAGGAAGGTCACGAAGACGGGGGGCTGCGGGAGAGAGAGGCTGTTTTCTTTGTTTTTCCTGGATTCCCCCCCCGCCTCCTTCGACATGTAGGTACACAGATAGATGGCCCCCGCTTATTTTGGGTGACGTTCGAGGTTTATCGGCTGCCGCCCACTGAGCAGCGCACGTGTTCTTTATATCTATCGCAAGTAAATATCGAATGTTGGACAGGCATCCGCCTATTATACTACAACATAGAGTGTGTTCATATTTCTGCCGGGAGGGCCCCATGCAGGCGAGCGCCCACGGCGCTAGGCCCCACTATACGTTACCCACCTAATGGTATAGACACGCGTAGCAGCACCACTAAACCCTACCGTTAATCCTAACCCACACCCCAAGCTTGGTCGATGTGCAGTGGGTAGAGGCCTAGGCCCCGGTACCGAGCTACCAGGTACTCTTGAGCGCGCTCAGCGCGTACCAACGATGGTTCTGGTGTATTTACATCGCGCGCCCACGTAGTAGGTGACACCGAGCGAGGTGTTTGTACCCATAGTAGTTTTGTCCTGGGTGGATCAACTCTCTCAGAGCAGCGTGTCAACATCGTCCAAGAAGATCTCTGGATCCAACGCACCGGCTTCCGCGATCACTATACACCAGTCAAAGCAGTAGATAGAGTACACGTACAAGGAAGGGTGGCATCGCCCAGAAAAATTTGCACCTTGAGCAACCTTCAAACATTTTGTGGTCCGCCAACAACTTGAGTCCCCAAGGAAGGGGTTCCAGGTTGTTGTTGTTGGGCTTTCGTTTCCCTCCCCACTCTACTATCTAGTACAACTCGTCGCAGTTACGCTACTGTACTGTGATGTTGAAAGCCGGCCGCCCCCTTGCTCTGCCATGGGTAGCGTAGGACCCCCCCCCCGTGCTTTACCGTGCTCCCCTCAAGGGGCGGTTCTTGGTCTTTTGATTTTTTTTCGAATTCGAACTGAGCACGCACCTGTTCTTGGGCGGGCGCCATCTGCAACTATCTGCACCCCCCCCCCCCCGATGA